AACCCATCTACCCTCACCCCCCATCATATCTGCCTGGGCACCAGGCACCGCTCTGCCAGCTGCCACGTGCCTGGAAGGGCTCTGACTGAGCTCCACATGGTCAGGGCTGGCCATGGGAGGAGATAAACCCTCTGCACAAGTGTTTCTCCTACTAGGGATTGCCTTGGAGAGAGCCCCACCAGCTCGGGAGGTGGGTCAGGGAGACCCTCCTCATCGTCATCTGGCAGCATTGTGAGCCAGGAGGAGCCTGCAGCAAAGCCAAGCATGTCTTCTCAAGGCAGAGATATCTCAGCAAGCAAAAGCCATTGCTCTGTGGCAGAAACACATGGAAATGGCTGACTGCATCACCCACAGTGATCTCAGGCCTTTTCCTCCAGGGTCTTATGCAGGTCCCACAGACCCCTGGAAATGGGCTTGTGTCTCCCCATGCCATCAATTGGAAGAGCAGAAGGGAGTTAAAAGCAATGGATCCATGTGTGTGCCTGAGGTTTGGACTGCCTCTGTTTTGGGAGGCTCTGCTTCACCCACTGGGAGCCTCACGGTTTGGGCAGAACCCCCACTTTCAGCTGATACCAGGAGCGGGCACGCTCAGCCCCTCTTTCGATCTGACCCACAGTTAGATGAAGGGTCTCTCAATCCCAAGGTAGCCAAATCCAAACACCTCCCTGGAGAAACCTATGTGCTTTGCCCGAGGTCACTCAGCAGCACGTGGCCAAGGCGTCCAAAGGAACATTGGGCTCCCTCCAGCTTCATCACTCCCTCCACCTCAGCACACTGCAGCACACCCAGGGTACTCCTGTCTGTAGTTATCTGGCTCCTGGTCAGACACAGTGAAAATGGGGTCTGGTTCCCTCACTGCCCCTCACTCCTGAAAGAGGCTGTTGGCTCTCGGATGCATGTTCCCCATGCAGAATAGCCATTTGGGGGGTTGCGTTTGCCTTCCGCTGTTTTAAGGACTCATGTAAAAGGCGGGAACAGAAATCAGCCTTGTGGGATGATGGCATGAGGAGGACACAGGCCACTGGGAACAGTCTCAAATCCGCTCCCTGCAGCTCAGGGATCTCTCAAATCCATCCTCTCTATCACAGACCCTCCCACTGCCACCCATCACAGCAGGGAGCCCCGCGGTCAGAGCTCAGGCCCTGGGCAAAGCTTTCGTTCTGCTGACGTTACTGCAGCTGCATGTCATTCATTCTTGTGAGATAATAAATGAGCCCCGTTGCTGACCAGTGGCTGGCTTCTGTCCTCTTGCATGTGAAAAGCACCTTGTTGGTTCCTTCAGGGGCTGCCTCTCCCAGCCAAGCGGGGCTGCTGTGGCTTGGGTGTTGGCTGTATTGCCCGAGTGAGGACGAGGAAATTGTGTTGTGTCCACATGAGCTGGCACCGTCCTTCCCACCTCGCTTCTTTTTCCAAGGGAGGGGCCAAACTGCCTGCCTTTATGCAGCAGAATTGCACCAGCAGTGTCCCTCACCAGAGCTCAGGGACCACAAGACAGAGTCTTGTGTGTAAAAGTTTAAGGATGTCACAAAAACAGGGTCTTTCACGCAGAGACAGACTCCCCAGCCAGAGCCTAGCTTTGCTTCCCTTCTCTGCATGAGCCCTGTAGTCTTATCTCAAGAACAAAAACTTGAGAGGTTGGCAGGAAATTAGAGGAATGAGAACCACAGTCTAGAAAAGAAGATGGGATCCCTAGAGTTAATGCCCTGCAGTTCAGGTGGGAACTATGAAGAGCATTCCCTGTTGTGATACTTGAATCCTGATCCAGACTTCTGATCTCCTACAGGTGCTCAAAATCAGTTCTCATGCTTGGCTGATTGAAAACACTGAGCCATTTTCTTCCATTGCCTTAGGGCTGCTCATGTGCACATGACTGGGAAAGACGCATACCTATTTCAATTTGCAGAAATAAAATTCCCCTTCAGAAGTGAGATTATTCATCCTCAGCATAAATCCACATTGCCCAGTGTCCTAAATCCATAGGGAAATCCCTAATCATAAGACACCTCAAAAAACCCCACTGACATTGACACAACGAGCATCATTACAAGCCTCAAACTAATTGCAACACTCTCTTGCCTGAAATCCACTGCACTGCTGCCGGGAGTACTCATGGCATGCTAGCAGGCGTTAAGGCACCCAGACGAATGCTTAGACAGTTGTCCTCCATGGATGGAGATCATGAGCTCTCCGTGGGCATTGGGCCATGAAGGAACAGTCACACATCCTAGTAGCAGGAGCTGAGCAGAACTTGGCACAACAAAATCAGGATGCTGCAGGGTCAGTGTAGCAGAAATTGAGTCTCTGGTTGTCCCAGCTGGTAGACAGATGGTTCCCAAAATGTATGGATGCTCTGCACACTTCCTACACACACTGTGTGTATGGACAGGCTGCCATGGCCAGAGAGATTGTGGTGTAGAGCCAACAGCTTCCTCTTGGGATTACGTGAATAACAGCCCTCAGCCAGCCTGCCTGTCCCTCAAACAGTCTCAGCCAAGCTGGGCACATCCCGTTGTGATGTTGTCATAGGTGTCTCAAGTGGTGACTGGCGTGAGGTGGACCAACTAGCATCCAGACATCCTTCATGGTGCTGAACACAGAGGTGCTGGCGAGTGTGAGTTCAAGACTGGTAGGAGTCTGGCACCAACAGCACGTCACCTCTGGAGCTGGATGAAGAGGAGGAAGAGCATCTGAGAGTGCCCAACACACAGAGAGACCGAGATAATGACATGGTTGATGCAGGCACAGGCACTGTCCTTCCTGAGAGCAACAGCATTCCCCCAGGAAGCTGTGGAAAATTCCAGTGTGGGGCTAGATAAAAGCCCTCTAGAGTGCGTGGGCCTCTAGTAGTCAATGAGGGACTTCCCATCCTCTTTTCTTTCAGACAAAGCGATGGCCATCAGCCCTGCTGGTCTTGCCCATGCCAGAGCACAGCACAGCCCAACTGAGCCCCACAGCACCTCACGCCGGTTCTCAGAGGCTGCACAGCAGGTGCTGATCCTGACCCTGCTCACCCATAATCCCCACTCCACCCTGTCTTCTACCTCGCTTTTGTCTTAAAGGCCCTTTCCTGGTTGCCTTTGCCAAGGACAGGATGCAGGACACCTCTGGGGAAGGAGGAACTGAGGGAGCACCAGGCCACCCCAAAGGGCTTTGAGGCCAGAAGGCAGACACAGTGTAAAGCACAGAAGAACTTCACTGCTGTTCAGTGCAGAACCTTTTCCCATCACAGGCCCGTAGGCTGCCTCCAGGGAAGCTCTGATGAAATAGTTGCCCCTGAAAGCCAGTGACCACCTCATGGCAACCCAGGAACTGTTTACCCCAAAGAGAAGCAAGCTCCTGGATGCAAAGTGCCAGCTAGCACCTCTTCTCCACCCACAGACCCAGCTCAGAGATCTTCCTCGCGGTACTTCTGCTCAGGCCATTCTCCTTCTTTAGCAGCACCAGCTTGTCGTGGAGCAGGGATGAGACCTGTTCCCTCTGCTTGCCCAGGGCTGTGGGGAACCCCTCAGAGCCTATTTAAAGCAAATGCACCCTGAAGCTCTCTCTGAGCTGGGCTCCTTGCAAGATCACTAAGAGAAAAGGAACAGCATAAACATTGAGCATGTTCTGTCCTGACCCACAGAGGTTCCTGAGAAACAGCGAGAGCTTACAGATCTGCAGAGGTGCAGGAAACAGAAAGCAGCATCCTCCCCTCTGCTACTGCGGGCCGTAAAACCAGAACATGAGCTCTCCGGCAAATGTTCATTCAAGAGCCTTCCATCACATCTCTAAGAGTGTACCTACGGCCTTCTAACCTACCCAACACTGAATTTGATAACTATTAAAAACAAAAGTAAAAGCAATCCTACACCACTCCATCTCCCTCCTTAGCAGCTGTTTTGGTCCTCACTGGTGTCAGGCTGACCACCTCTGCCAGTCAGTAGGTAACTGAGCTGCTCCACAGGCATCACAACCAGCCTGGGCTACCCAGGCACATGGGCAACCAGGGGTCAGCTTGGACTCTATAAACCACTGCTGGTCAACCAACAGAGGTGTGAAATGACTGCAACAAGCACAGAACAGAGGGGAGTCCCCATCCTCCAACAGCAAGAACTCATGAGGTCGCTCTTCTTGACTCCTGGACTAAGCTTTGGCAGGAAGATGCCACCCTGTCTGGATCCTTCCCTTCCAGATCATCCTCGTCAAGGCCACCAAATGTTAGCAGGGGCCTCCCAGCGGCAACCAGAGGTCCCTGAGGCATCTTTTTGTTAGAGAAGGGGATTCCCTGGATTCCAGGCTTTGAAGGGGATGTGTGCAGCTAAGGGAGTGAGAGAGAAGTTTAAGCCTGAGTCTTCTCTCCATAGCACAATTGCTCCCGGTTGGAAGAGGCCTGGCTGCAGCAGTGAGTTTCACCTCCTGGCACAATGGACAAGTGCAGCTCGCTGGCGGTCCCAATGCAACAGGGTTACAGCTCTCCTGGTGTGACAGAGTGAGCTGGCAATCCCTGCGACTCAGCTGGTGGTCCTGGGTCTCCTCTGACAGACCAGAGGTTCCCAGGAGCTCAGGGCAGCGCACGTCGTGAGTGCTGCCTGCGACAGCACAAGTGAGCACGAGGGCACAGCAGTGGTGGGACATGTTGAAAGGGAGGAGGACAAGGCCACACTGCCTTGTGGGTTACATTCTGGCTAAGGCAGCATATTCCAGGCAGGGACCCTCTGGGTAGCTGATCACATGTGGAGCTGCTCTGGAAGCCATTGTCAGGGCTGGGCACCTTTGAGGTTTCCCCTGCACGTCAGCAAGGCACTGTCAGGACATGCTGAAGGGGAGACACAGCATGTTCCAGGGAGGATTTTGGCCCTGAGGGACCCGGAAGCATTGTCTAACAGGACAA